GAGAGAGAGAGAGAGAGAGAGAGAGAGAGAGAGAGAGAGAGAGAGAGAGAGAGAGAGGTGAAGCATTTTCCACCTATATCATATGAATTTTGAGACTTATGGATATGAAATAAAAACAAGGTCATTATGTCCCACTCTTATAATGTATTGTTAACATATAATGTAATGGTCTCATTATTCTATTTACTTTTCTTGGATGGAAGCTTCGAAGTAAGAACAAAAAATGTATTTAATTTATTTAAAAAATTTCATTTTCCATTAATAATTAGCAATATTAAAGTGCCATAGGTAGAGCTTCTTCACTTGATTCCTTATCATGGTCAAATAAAGATGAGAACATCTTTATGTCACCTGAAAGCTCTTTGTTTTTTTGGACTATCTAAGCTAGTTTTCTTCTATATTATTGTTAAAATATGCTTATTAGTCTGCTCATATGTGATTATTTTTTCATTTGGGATAGCTTTTTTAATGCTTTCTAAAACAGCTTTCTAGTACAAAAATTTATAATTTAAGAAAATTTTTAACTAAAAAGTTGTTTTGGAAAGCATTAAGAAAGCTGTCCCAAACGAAGCTTATGTTTTGTTTCTCTATTTTTGCTTCTTATGTGGTGAAGATTATGCTTAACAAATGGAGTTATGAGGAGTTTCAATTTATTAAATAATCAAAGATGTGTTGTTTTGCTCTTTTTCGATTAAAAATTCATTGTTGATTGCTACTATAATATGGTAATCTTTGACCACTAATCTTTTGTTTTAAATGTTAATGACTTATTAGATCCTTTCTAATTTATTTGATGAAATAAAATTTTTAAAGTTGAAAGATGAGTTTATTTTGTTGGTTAGTAAAAAATATATGACGGTTAAATTTTAATGAATAGCTACGTAAAATTTAATATGGGCCTTAGAGAGCTTAAATGGGTTTGACAACCACCCTTGATTTGATCTAATAAAGCATCATATGGCTTTTGGTGCATGCCATCATTGTAGCACTAATCTTGATGAAGCTCTTATGGAAGTAACCAATTGAGAAAATCAACCTATTGAATGAACTCATCAATAGTCTAATATTATCAGTACTAAATATTTTAAACTAAAGATCCACAGTGATATATATAAACTTCTCTGTTTTTATTTATAATATGAAAGAACACCACACATATTCATATTGATGATTCATCAAGATGCGTTCAGTAAGTGTTAAAAACACTACGCATGTCAATATTCCAATAAAGAATGGAAAAATGAAGAAAATGTAGAAAAACTTAAGCTACCATTGGGCAAACAGGCTAAGTAACAACATCTTGAATTCCATGTAGTTCAAAACTATAAAATTCAACCATAAAAATTGATTCATGAGGTGCCCACCCTGATGTTTTTTTTTTCAAGATAGACAATATTTTAAGAGATACATATATAACTTTAGTACTTTACCCTTGTTTGGCCTCTAATAGTACATAAGTTCATCCTTACAAGAGATTATTACGTGTGGAGTTCAGATCGAAACTGTGTCCGAATTCTGTGAGTGTGCGCGGTAAAAGCGTAGTGCGCACACTCACAGAATCCAGACAATTTTCCCGTTCGGACTCCGCACGTAATAACCACTCCTTTCTTAGGGTTGATAAGAAGAAAGACATCGATGAATACATCAGCATTCGAACCTGTGTCATCATCATAAATATCCCACCATAAATACAAATTGTAATATTTACTTGCTTATGAATATATGTTACATATATTCATTTTGATATAAAATAATATGATGCATCTATAATATCAAAAATATGGGGTGGAGAGTGTTACTAAGCATAAGTTCATCCATGAATCGAATAATAGTTGAGAATCATCAAATTCCACTCATTAATTAGAGGTGTCAATTGATATTCTAAGTCAACTCCTTCCATCCATTGTTAATTTTGGCCCCCACAAAATCCAAACAAGTAAGGACAAAAACATAAATCCAAACTTCCCTCTTCTTGCCCCCTCCCTTTATAATATCTTCTCCTCCCCTCCCCTCCTTCCATCCATCCTCAAAAAACAAAGCTCATATCTTTTCTTGTCCACCACAAGCCCCCCACAATGGAACTCCAACTCCAAAAACAACAATCTCTCTTATCTCCAATCCAATCAACCAAATTCAAATCCAAATCTAAAGCCGCCGCGGCCGCCGCCGGCGGCAACAAGTTCGTTGGCGTCCGTCAACGGCCGTCGGGGAGATGGGTTTCCGAGATCAAAGACACCACTCAGAAGATCCGCATGTGGCTCGGCACCTTCGAAACTGCCGAGGAAGCCGCCCGGGCCTACGACGAAGCCGCCTGCCTCCTCCGCGGAACCAATACCCGCACCAATTTCTCCACTCGCCGCCCCAACTCCGCCGCCTCCTCTGCCGTTGATTCCCCTCTCGCCACCCGCATCCGTAAACTCCTCCACCACAAGAAACTTGCTGGCGCCGCCGTTGGCAGTGGCAGCAGCGGAGGCAGCCCGACCAGTTCCGCCTCCACCACCACCGACAGCGGTGGCAGAAAACAAACCTCCTCCCCTGCAACCAGAGAGAACTACCAAGAAGTCTACCGGCCGTACTTCGCCGCCGACTTCAATCTCGCCTCGTCGGTTCCGGAATCATCTTCGTCTTCTTCCTGGGCATTCGAGGCCATGTTCGACGAGTTCGAACTCAGCAAAAGCATCGATTTTGATGCCGCCGGTTGCGGCGGCAGCGAAGCCGCTGCGGCCGAGGTGTCGGAATTCGAAAGAATGAAGGTGGAGCGGCAGATATCGGCTTCGCTCTATGCCATGAATGGAGTTCAAGAGTACTTTGAGGCTGTTCAAGACCTGTCTTCTTCTTCCTCGTTGGCGTCGGCGCACGTTGATCCAGATTGGGATCTTCCAGCGCTATACCATTTTTACTGAGAGCTTCTGGTTAATAATGGCGGTTTTTTTTTGTGATTGGTATTAAGGGCTTAATATATGATTAGTCCCTAATTAATTGTTGGAGAGATCATTTAAAAATATTTGGGATATTCAATTATTGAAGTATTAATGGTGGTTTAAGTCTTGGTTTATTTTTTTAATATATTTTTTAAAGTTGTTAAAGTTTTTTTTAAAAACAACTTGTTTCTTGTTTTTTCTTTTGGTTTATATATTTTTAAAATATTTTAAAAACTTTTCTAAAATTAATTTAATTTTTTCTACCATCAAAAGTGACATTTTTAATGTTTAATACAAAATTTGTCTTTAGCTTTTTGTTTTAAGCATAAATTTTCTTAAATAATGGCATTTTAGGTAATTAATTGAGCAAGTAAAATAATAAATGATTGATGTGGTAAGATTTTTACCCAATCAAAAATGTATTTTGGCACAAGATTTGGATTTTAAAATCACTCAAAATATTAAATTAAAATTTTCAAAAAAATAATTATGAGATCAAATTATTTTGATTTTTATAAATTTATAATCAAAATAATCATCTCACTACATGAATTCCAATAACTTAATTCTGTTTGAGACGGTGCTAAAAAGTAAGTTTACACTAGCTAATTTTTTTTAAAATTAATGAGAAATTAATAACCAAACGAAATTGTGATTATTATTAGAAAAATAAAATAGCTAGAAAGCTGCCCCAAACAGACTATTAGAAATCTCTAGATATTGAGCCAGTTTAGGCCTTTAACTGATTAAATTATGACAAACCAAATCATGAATTGAACCATGCTATGCCTTGTTCTCCTTCGGCTTTTCGGTGCGAGTTACATATTGGGGATACCCATAGATGATTGCTTCCATGCAAAAAATATTGAATCATTTTTTATGACATCAAATTTTATCTTAAGTCTTTCCAAAATCACCATGACTTTTACATATATACGATTCACGAATAATCGGTAGTACTGTATTACTTTTACAGAGATGAATATTCTGATACTGAGATTATGAGTTATCATTGTTGTTGCATATGCTAATATGATGGTCGACAAGACCAACAACTATCAAACACCAGGTATCCGTCAATCTCTTTATTAAGAGAGATTATTACGTGCAGTCTCTAGAATGTCCAAAGGCCAATCAAGATGCAGCGACATCACCCAATCCACAGTGATACACAATAACGATACACAACATATTGATGACATGACATGACCTGATTAGCCTATAGAAGACGTCTGATGACTGCACATAATTATTTCGCCTCTATTAAACCCATCAGCTTAAGCTTAAAATTGTTATTTTTTATGATTAGAAATATAAATTGTTATGGTCTAAGGTTAGTGCATGAGTGAGCTTATTAATAGCTTCTCATCAAGCTTTTATAAACCAAAATTAAAGAATAAATTGATGTCCATTTATGAATCTATGACCCCATTGCAACCACCATTATATTATAAAACTTCCATCATAAATCATGGAAATATTGTCTTCAATATGCAAAACATAAATTTGCATACATTAATCTCACATTTAGCATCCTTTCATTTAATATAATTTGTTTTATGACTAATAACAATTCATAAAAATAATTAATACATTCTTTATTTCCCAAAAGAAATTATATATAATGTTTAAACATCCATAATTATTAATATTACATCTGAGCTTATTTCTTCCTTTGTCTTTCTCATATTTTCTCCTATTTAATAAATTGACACGTGGCAGCATTGGAAAGTATTAGCCAATAAATAAATATTTTTCCACCCAATTTTCCCAAATAATTATTAGCAAGACATTTGGCAGCTAATTAGAAATTTTTTCATTTGATTAATTGGGACATTTGGAATATTTATTATATTTGACTAAGACTTGCTCATTGGTTGGTCTTGATACAATAAGGCTATGTCAAATTTTAAAATAAAAAATATTATATTTTATATTTTAAATTAGTTACATAAAATCAATTATTTAATAATATTATTATTATTATTATTATTTTTCACTCTATTTACTGACAGTGGTAAAATTTTAACTCAACTGAATCTAATTTGTTATTATAAATAATTTGTAAGAGTATATTATAATTAAAAAAATATAAATTTTGTATTTATTTTATAAGAAATTATTTTATAGTTATTTTTTTTAGTGACAATATGATTATTTTTATTTTTAATTTATTGGGAAAGTTAAGAAAAGATCAGGTCTAATAATAAAACATAACAAATGCCAAATTAAATATCTGCCAAGGAAAGATTCAGATATGAGACAAATGCTTGCAAAAGCAATTCTCTTACCAAATAAAAATTAAAAAAAAAAAAAAACTCATTAATATTTTTAAGATGCCCCCTTTTAATTTTTTTTTGGGTAAATATTATAATATTAGTCAAAGCTCAAAATCTTCAAATTTGAAGTCAATATTTGAGAATAAGCTTAAGGCATTTTGATTTTATTTAGAATTTGTTTGTAACAACTTTTTTATTGCTTCTTAAACTAATTTTTTAATATAAAATTTAAAATTTTTATACTAAAAAATTATTTTATGAAGCAATAAAAAAAGGTCTAAAAAAAGCCTCAATAACAAAATTTTAATCTTAAAAAAAAATTCTTATTGTTTTGTTTCTCAACCTGCAATCACAATTCTATTTGTCTATTGATTTTTTGTTGATTTAGAAAATTTTATGTGCTAAAAAACTATTTTTTATGACAACTTCTAAAAATTTATTTTTCCTACAATTAGTTTTGCAATCACCTTTAATTTATCCTAGTCAACTTGAATTCAATCTTATTCTTATTATTGCCCCCTTTTAAAAATATTATTCTAACTCCTCACATTATAACTCTCTTGTATTTTCTACATATAATTAGAGTTAGTTACAATTATATATATTATCTTATTCAACTTATTAATGTATGGATAAAGAAATGCTAACATATAGTCTCATTTTAGCATATTGGATTTTTAAAATGAAAGAGAAACTACTTACTAATGAAGATAAAGATGATAGGTTTATTAATAATATGTCAACACTAGTGAAGATAAGATGATAGATTTCTTTAATAACATGTGCTTATTTTATTTCGTTTGTAGGACCAATTATCAAAGATATTTTCTGGAACAGCCAAAACTCTTAACTATCGATATATTGTTCATTTTTGTCATGTTGGTGTAACTTCTCAGGAGATCACCGCAGGATTTCTCCGAGATAAGCATGCTTGATTGCGGAGTTTCTTAATGAAATTACGACCATTACATCAAGAAAATAGTTCGATGTTAAAAAATTTAGCTTCTTTTTACTTAAGAGATTTCACATTTCTCTCCTCAAATTCAAGAAAAACAGAACATTGAAACAGATTACAATCAAGTTACTGACAGATTACAGAGCTTAATCAGAACTTTCAGCATTGCCACACAATATAGGAACATAGTTATGTTCCTAATTTCCTTCTTAAAGAAAGTTTATATTCGTTGTCTTCCTCATACTAAGTCAGCACAGAAGAGTGATGAGCTTTTCTGAAAGCAACAAAATGGCCTTTGGAAGAGAACAGATGAGACAAAAGGCAAAAGGATCCAACAGAAGAACTAAATAATCTTATATTCTGAATCACCATGGCAACCTCTCTTGAGAATAAAAGCTATTAAATAGCTACAATCAAAATTTTCAGGAGTCCAGAGAGCACAAAAACTAATAAAAAGGACAGATAAACATACATCTGTGTTTATAGTGAGAGATCATTGAAGAGAAGTCATTCTTCCAAATGGCAAGCATGGAAATTAGGATAACTGGTAAACAAAATGATGTAAAACATGTTGAGTTGTATGATGATTGTGTTGTTGATGTAAAGCATCTTCCAAATGGCAAAATCATGCAATAATTTTCTTCATCATCTTGAATGTAAAGATAATTCATAATGAGATGTGCAAAATCATATATATATAATTCAAAGGCCACATTTTTTTGATCTTTTAACAGTTATACATCGCTTATGAAGACTAGAAACAACAAAGATATCAATTCAAATGAAAATTCAATGATGTTTTACTCGAAATAATGGATGAAACTTTAGAAACAAAATTAAGAAATTAATTGAAAATTACAACAACAACAACAACAACATCAAGCCTTTGCCCCAATATGTGGGGTTGGCTACACGAATGTTTTTTCTCCATTGTGTTCTTTTAAGAATCAAATTTTGATTTAAATTTAATAAAGAAATATCATTTATAATATTTTCTAATTAAGCCTTTTTAGGTCTACCTCTACCTTTCTTAACATAAGCAAAATCTAATACATATACTCTCATAAAAGGACATTGGAAGGCCTCTGTTTTATGTGACAAAATCATCTAAGTCGACTCTCTCTAATATTATCTTCCACTATAACTACTCTAACATTTTCACGAATATGCTCGTTTTGTATCCTGCCTCTAAGAATAAAGCCACTCATCCAGATGAGAATTGAAAATAACACCTTAGTTAAATTAAGTCTTTGCTTGGAACAATTTTTTTACTGCTTTGTTTTTCAGATTACAACCACAATTTTTGTTTGACCATTGCTCTTTCAATACTTTCAATAAATTTATGTTAGGAAGCTAGTTTCTACATAAACTTTAAAAAAACTATTTTCTTCACAACAACTTTACAACTACCTTTATAAAAAGTTGCTGACATCTTAAACATACCCTAAATCAATCATGTTCTTAAAGCAACAACAAAATTTAGAATAAAAATAAATAAATAAATAAATGAAAATAAAAAAAATAAAAAAACAACAAAATTTAGAATAAAGATCAGATAAGAAAAAAAGAATTCACCAAAAGTTAAAAAATACTGCTTAGTCAAGGAGTTGACTCTTTTAAATATAAAAAGTAAATGCATTCAAGTTGACTTTTTATTTTTTATTTAGAATTAACTAGGAGTTACTTTTAAAGTATATAAAAAAATAAAAAATAAAATCCCAAAACACTCCCATGGATATTAATTAATGTTCAATTTAATTACAAACTTTCATGATGACCCAATTAGTCTTCTAACTATTAATATCTCAATTTGATCTCGAGGTCAAAGAAACAGTTAAAATTAACTCCAATAGTTAAATGTGAGGACAATTTATGTATTAAGTTCTATGTGAAAATATATTAAATTTTTGTATATTTTTTATTATTTATCATATTAAAATAAATACAAAAATCATAATAGAAGTTAACCAACTAAATAACAATAGTGAATAATTAATAAATGTTGTTAATTTCCATTATGATTTTTGTATTTATTTTAATATGATTTTTGTATTTATAATATCTAAAATACCATCACATTCAACTGTTACTTTGGGCGTTGGGATTAAATTAAGATATTTTCTAATAGTCAGTGGACTAACTTGGGACATTATGAAAGTCTAGAACTAAATTGAACATTTACTAATAGTCATGGGTCTATTTTCAGCTTTTAGTCCAAAAAAATTAATGCAACCAAGTTGAGTTTTTTATTTAGAATTACATTGATTGAGCTTTTTACATGGCTCAAGCTCACATTAAAAATAACAAAGTCTCCTCGATATTCCTCATCCACAAATCAAAGTATGCCAAAAGAATTGCATAGAGTTGTTGGTAAAAGAAAAAAAAAATTGTGCAAATACAATATCATACAAAACACTTCAGGATGGGTTTTAGACCCATCAGATTTGCATTGAGATTAATAACATATAATATTCTGAATTGTATTAACAAATGGATCAAAGATAGATGTCAATCTGGCTTAAAGAAACGAAGAAAGCTCCAACCATGCTAGTCATATCAATAAAGTAGTATTTTTTTTGCATATTTATCCCTCCTAAAATTTTGATATTCAAAAAAACAAATAACCTCATAAAAATCAAATCATTAGCATTTCTCTAGCCGATTAAAAACTGTTTATTACAAATTACTAACAATTTATTGCACAAAAACATGTTTTGTCACCATGAACTTCTCTCAATCTTATCAAGCAACTTCATTACAAGATGAAAATTACTATCAGATGATGTAGCCAATTCAACTACTTGTAAAGAACGCTTTGTTAAAAGATCATACCTTTCCAATTCATTAGTAGCCACCATTTTATCTGAAGAATGAGATAAAGGATGTAAGCGTTTGAAATCTTTACGCCAACGGTCGAGAATATATTTGGATGGAAGGTCATATTCCTGAGAGAATTTGAGTACAGATAAGGCATGCCTACAAAGAATGCCCTCAAAATTAAATCTTTGGCAAATACATTCGACTTCACTTCCACACGCATTGTATGAAACCTCGAAGTCCTTAAAGCCTCTTATTTTACCTTCTGTGCTTTTTTTTTGAAATCCACATTCTCTTACTTCATAGTAAGTAACTGAACCATCAACCTTGAGTATAGATATACTGCACTGGATGGTAGCCTTCAACTCCTCCTGAAACTTCTTGAACATATTCATTGTGTATAACTTAGAGAGCTTTTCCTCTATTGGCAACTGTGTCAGCAAGTAGGGGCTACCATGAAATGATTCAAGATCAGCCTGTGCTTCTTTTTCATAATTATCTTGTAAAGCTATCTCATTTAAGCTAATAAATTGCTGCAGAGATGTTTTTGAATCTACATATTCATCAAAGTAAGAGTTCAGAGTTTGATTACGCTGAGTAGTTGACATGCCTGCCCAAAATATGTTCTTAAGAAAAGCTGGAACCCAAAAATATCTACCATCATATAATTCCTGAAGCCATTTATGCATTTCTAGTCCAAACTCTTCTATCACTCTTTTCCACCCATCTTCAAAGTCTGAGATTGTCATTGAATCATATATTATTCTCTTTATTTCTTTCTTAATCGGTTTATATTTGTCAAGATGTCCCAATTTCTCAGGCATTTTATTCAAGATGTGCTGCAAGCAAAATCTATGTCGGGACTCCGGAAAAACTTCTGAAACTGCGTATTGGATGTTCATGCATTGATCGGTTATAATAGCTTTTGGAGAACGCCCTGACATGCAAGACAACCAAGCTTCAAATAACCACACAAAGTTCTCAGATGTTCCACTTGCAAGTAAGCCACAACCAAATAAAACCAATTGGCCATGATGATTAACTCCGACAAAAGAAACAAATGGTAAGTCATACTTGCTAATTAGAGATTTTGTATCGAATGCCACAATGTCTCCAAAATAGTCGTATGATGATCTAGATTTTGCATCAGCCCAAAACAAATTTCTTAGATGGCTTTCTTCATCCCAATCCAACAAATAAAAAAAGTTTGGATTTTTCCTCTGCATTTGCAAAAAGTATTCACAAATTGCCATTGCATCTCCTTCTTTAAGCTCGAGAGTCCCTTCCTTATGTGCATAAGTCAAGCACTCCTTTTGGCCAATAGTTATTCCCAAAGGCCCTCCATTTTGTTGAAGTAATGGATTATCTGAAACATATATACCTGCTTCGTCATTGCAATCTGATCTTTTCCCCATAACAGCTTGTAACTTCCTGTTGCATCGAAAATATCGAGCTTTCGAGGGACTTAGTAAATGATTATGCTCGAGAACAACATCTGTTACAAATAGCAAGTCATCTTTCCAATTCCTAACTGTGATCATCGCAAGACAATTAGTTTTTGTTGTTGGCTTTGCTAGAGAAGATTGTTGACTAGTTGATCCACAACCACTTTTCCAACAACTAAGATCAGCGCGCCGGCATTTCCCCTTCCGAAACCATGATCTTTTAATAACAACACCAAATCCCTTTCTATGTCCATATTCTTTGTAGAATCTAAAAACGTCATCATAAGATTCAAATACCATTCCAACTTTGGGTTCTTGATCTTCTTCTCCATTCCCATTCTGGGGAATATTTTCAATTGCTGCACTTTGCAAATCCTGACACATTAAAAGTGTGTATAAGACATGGCCTCATTAAGGATTTGTTTGGAACGGCTTTCTTACTGCTTCTTAAAGCAACTTTCTAATGCAAAATAAAAAGCTACTTTGAGAAGCAGTAAGAAAGCCGTCCCAAACGAAGCCTAAATCAAACCGATGAAAACACCATGAAATGCCACAAGAAAAGGTGAAAATGTTTATCAGAACAAGGACCAGCCATATAAATTGTGAATGACATGATCATCATCATTCTCTACTCTGAGATATTTAAGAAAATGCATATGTATGTTAGGTTTGCAAAAGAAAAGCTCATCTTTTTCTGCAACAAATAATCAATAGAATCAAAACTTTTAAGTAAACAGTACGAGCAAGCAAGGAATCATAACAAGCTGAAGAAATTAAGAGACAAAAATTGCAAAACTCGAGTTGTCATCTTGTGTAAAAATATTAAGTATGATATCTGAATGAAAAAGGACTTTCATCCTTCTTGTAGCTAAAGGCAAAATGGCAACTTAAATGTAATAGGAAGGACTCTTCTATATAAATAAAACAATTGAAATAAAAGCAAGAAATGGAGTTTAAGAAAAGTTTGTATATAAACCACTTTACAAAACTACTTTTATTGCACAGCAGGTTACCTTCAGCATTGAAACTTCTCTGCAATAGGGTGCATCTTCACCCTGCTTTCTTTTAGCTGAGTCATCCATGGCATCATCTGGTCAAATCTAGTACAGGTACATCTATTGTCAAATATGATTTCAAAGAACTATGAAGAGTTGAGATGGGGAGAACAAGAAGACTAAGGAGCTAGCAGACAAGGGGAAGAAAGCAAGTTCTGGAGAATCGAGAAATAATGCAATCAGTATAAGCTTTTCCAAATTTTTTATTTGAAAAGCCAGAGGCCGAAGTTGAGCCATCCCTTCAGCAAATTTTGTCAGATTTCTCATCCAGGTAGCATCTAATCAGCTGGGATGTGAGACAGTGTTGATAGGAAGGGCTGCATAAGAATTGCTCTCATTATTACAATAAAATGGAATGCTTTGTAAATGAACAAAGTACTAATGAATCCATAATATTTATTTTTTCAATGTTATATAAGAGAAATAATAGAAGAAGAAAAACTGACTAGGAACTTTCTATACAAAGAATCCTTTTGTTTTGCAACCAAGCATCTATAACTAAATAACATTGTGGTCTAAACAAGTTAGTAGAAGTGGCAAATCTTTTTATTTAATTTATTTAGTGAAAAGATTGGGATCTTCTCACTAAAAGGTGATAAGTTGCAGAACAAAGAGCAACCGAAAAAACAAAGAGAAGTCTTACAGAGAAAAAAGAACTTTAAACATTAATCCAATATGATGTGAGGCTTGCAAGGAAGGTTTAAAGCTTTCCATTTCTCTAATATCTGATAGGCATTGTTTCAGTTAGAAATTGGTCTTAAATTTTGTTGTGTGAATGGCTTCTATTGCCATTAGTGTAGCTTTTGTGCCTATATATAGAAGTTATAAGTTGTAATAGGTTGCATGGTTAAGAAATAAAGTTTTGAGTTTGCTGCTCTCTCCCTCTCCCTCCTCTCCCAAGAAGCTCATGAAGGAAGGGCTTCTTCCTCATTCAAAATCCTAACATCTGGTATCATAGCTGGGAGGTGGAGGAAGTTTTTATTGCTCAAGAAATCAATTCAAGCTAATTGTCTTGATCTACGGACGGAAGGCTCGCAAGAAGGGCTGGGTCGCTAGTTAAGTAAGCGGCCGGAGCAAAGCTGTAGCCAGGCAGGTTGTCCTTGATTGCGCGGGCTGCAGTTGGAGCGAGTAGGCCGGAGCAAGCGATCGTGCAAGGCGTGGCCGCGCAGGGAGGCCGCGGAGCTTGCAGGGTCGCAAGGGCGGGCTTGTCGCGTGGGCACAAGGGCTTGCGTGGACGGGCGTGAGGAAGATTGCGCAGAGGCGCGTGCATAGGCGTGTAGGGCGAACGGGGCAAATGCGGGTCATATGGTGGGTTTGATTGGCGAGAAGAGACATTTAGTTGTTGTGTGTCAGAGCAATGAATCAAATCAAGAACCTGGGCGACATGTTGGTTGTGGACTCATAATCGGATAGATGTAGTGCAAGGTCACAGGTTGGAGCACGCACAAGTGTCTGAGGAAGACTAGCGAGTCAGTGCTGGAGCATGAGCTAGAGTAAGACTAGTGAGTCAGTGCTGGAGCATGAGCTAGAGTCGTGGTTTGGAACACACGGTGGAGGTTGTTTGCGAGCGAGATTGGGTTTGGTTCAAAGGGATTGCTCATGGTGTAAGCATAGGAAACCAGCTAGATTGCAGTAGGTGCACAGATGTAGTTCTTTGATTATAAATCTGGACCAAAGTGAAGATTGTTGGGTGTTGGCCCAAGTTTATTTAGGTTATTCCACAAGACATCACAAGTATGTAAATGCCTATATATAGGCATTATATGAGATGTATTAATTTGGGGAAAATTTGAATAAAACGTTAGTATAGGTTTTCCTCCTAATTTTTGTCTCGCCCTCCCTCTCCTCCCTCTCCCTCTCTCTCTCTCTCTCTTGCAAGAAAGCTCAAGAAAAGCTCTCAAGAAAACCTCCTAAATTCCTAACAGTTTCCATGACTATATTCTATCAAAAATAAGCTTTCCATTTCTCTAAGATTTGATGAAAAGGTCTTTACATGAAGCGTATGATAAGCAAGAGAAAAAGTGGTGAATCGTTATCATTATTTCTCCATAATGATGTGTTTGACATCAATAATGTCAGAAGAAAGATCTATAGCAAAGAGAACAAAAAAAAAAAAAAGTTTGCTTACTTACAGAAAGAGGAAGATTGTGATAAGCAACCTTCAAAATCATATAGACTAGCCAATTCATACAATTTTTTTTATTAGATGTGATGATTGTTCAAATTTTATTTTCGTGAGCAAAAAATCAAAAGCTCCGCAACCTTCAAAGCCTTTTTTTTTTTTTTCAAGAAATAATATTCCATCTGCTTTA